TGAGTGAAAAAGGATAAAAAGGAGAGAGACTCTGTGTGTACATATTTATATTGACCAAAATCCAGGAGCTATACCCAAATGTAAAAAGTAGTTATCTCTAGGTAATAAAATTTTTAATATCTTATGATCCAAGAACATAGCATTTTGAGCTTTATTTTTAATAATTTAGTTCTGCCTTTTTACTTATCTACTTTAAAAATTATTCAACAAAAACATATCAGCGGGGGTATTTAAAAAAAATGTTTTTATTGATTTCAGAGAGGAAGGGAGAGGGAGAGAATCATTGATTGGCTGCCTCCTGCACGCCCTCTACTGGGGATCAAGCCCGAAACCTGGGCATGTGCCCTGACCGGGAATTGAATGGTAACCTCCAGGTTCATAGGTTGATGCTCCACCATTGAGCCACACCAACCAGGCAGTAGGGGTATTTTTAAAATATGGGCATTCCACTCTTGATTTCAGTCTGAATCTTCTTCTCTCTTTCAGTTCTGTTTTGGTGGAGTAAATTGTTAAAGAACTCAGTGAGGAAGAAGGGAGGGAACACTTTCAATAATAAAATCTTGTATTGTTTAAGCACCTACCATGTTCAAATTATTATATTGTCATAGAGTTGGTGGGAGATGGAATAAAAGAGATACAAAGGTCTGTAATCAAGAAAAAGCAAATGTCCTGTTCTTAAGAAAATTAACAATATCAACAGACATATTTTCAGTAGAATTATGCAGGAGAAAATGCTAATTTGGGAAACTTAGTTTTATGCAGCAGAATTATTTGGGAAGTTTTAGGAGAGATTCTCATATGTTGGTGGGTTTCTGCAACTATCATCGAATTCTCAAATATGTACAACGTACTTAAATTAAAAGCTAACCAATTTATATGTTTTTCTTTGCCCCACAGCTCACCAACTTATTTCCCATCCTCACATTTTCAGAAAAATGAGGTAAAAGAGCACTTTAGACTGCAAGTATAAATTTCTTTAATCACATATGAAAAACTTTGGGAAGAAATGTTTTTGGGAAAAAGAAAAGAAATGCACATTGAATAATTGTGGGTTTTTCCCCTTTCCCTTAGTGGAGCTAGCTATATGAAAATAAGGTCTTAATTTCTGCAGCGTTATTTTTTGGTTCTCATCTGAATCCACTGTGATTAGGAGTTCACTGTTGAAACGCTAATGCAATAGCAGTATAAGGATGTTTGGCATGTCACCTGTACTACAGCCCACAGATCTCCAAACACTTCAGAAATGTTTGCAAATTAATCCTCCTTACATTTCAGCAAATTATTCACTCTTCAGAGCCCACAGATGGGGAACAGGAGATGGGATTCCTGAGTGGAACGCTGTATTCGTTCAGATGAAAGGGAAGAGATAGGAGGGTGACTTCATTAGTGTGCCCACACTCTGTGGCAGATTCAAGAGCCAATAAAATGCTGCTAGCCAAACATGCTAAGTGGTGGGGGGCCACACCAGACACTCTCCTAGCACAGTGTTCTGAGCAGGGTTTGGGGCATGCCTCTGGGCTCACCCCTTAGCTTTGTTACTTCCAAGCTCATGAGCAAGTTTCTTTACTGCCCTAGCTTCACTTTCCTCAACTGTAGAATCAAGGTCAGACCTGCTTTACATGGTTGTTGTGATGATTAAACAAAATAATGCACATAATTATCCTGGCATCCAGGGTAAGCCTCCAAGTTAGGTATTTTATGGCATTATTTTCCCCACTGGGATGTATTACCAAAGACACAGCCTAAGTGAGAGAAGCCAGAACACTAGGATCCCACTCTACATCTCTTTGAGAAAAATCCACTTCACAATGAGATAACTATAAACTGTTTCAAGAAAACACTCTATAGGTATCTTGGTTTTAGCCACCACACTAACTAGGCCTTGCATCCAAGGTCCCATATGATGCAGTTTAATGTCACATTTCAACCATGTCCTCCTGTATTCACTCAGCCAACGTGCATGGGGCGTGGGTTTAGGTGCTGAGAATCCAAAGGTTGGATTGGATAGATAGTTCTGCCCTGAAGTTGCTTCCGGTCCGGGACACAGGAAGTGGACCAGGTGAAAGAGAATAGACAGAAAGGGTCAGAGAAGGGGAATTTTCAAAAACTTAGTGCCTGAAAATTGGCAGTCTTAGCTGCTTTGGAAGCTCAAAAAACTTATGTTCTTGGATTATGTCTCTCTATACTTCTCTCCATCCTGCCCTCTGTACCCTCAGATATCCCTTCTGGGCATTATTCCACATCTAAAATCTGCAGTGTGCCCAACTCCAAGTTCTTGCCCCTTCTGAGCTGCAGGACACCTGGACTCCTAGAGAGGAAAGGTGGTGTTGTACAGTAGGAAGAATCACAAAACGCCTGGTCCCGTCCATCCTTTGGACTCCTCCAGGTGGGAGTGAGAGTCAACTAGGAAACAGAGAGGAGACACTGATTCAGGCAGGCGGGGGAATCCGTGGCAAGCAATGAAGACTACTAGAATATGAAGTGGAGAAGCAAGCTTTACCCACAAGTTGAAGCTGACTAGTGATTTGGAGGGGAGTCTGTGACTCTAAGGTGGTATACAAAAATGTGCACTTTTGTGGGGGATCCATTTAAGGAACTTGTGCATTAACTAGGTACCAGGCACAGTTCCAGGAACTGGGAAAACATTAGTAGACCAAACTGCCAAAGTTCCCTGCCCTCCTGGAGCTTACACTCGAGAGCAGTGGTTCCCAACCTTTTTATGGCCACACCCCACCTAAGCCTCTCTAAAATCCTGATGCCGCCACTGTGACATATAAATCTTATTATTCAAAAAGTGAACTCCTATTCCATGAAGGAAGCCTAAAAGGCCATTAACCTGGTCTAAACAAGCTTCCAAAGAACATGGCATCCATGAAAGAGAAAAATAAAAGAACAAAAGGAAGCACTGAAGTACTGAGGAGGAAATCACTAAGAAATTGTTAAAAAAATAATAATATGAAGTGATATGAAAAAATAGCAAATAAAGTTTCAAAACATGTCATAGAGAACTGAAATGCATAAATATGTCACAATACATATTTATATACTGTATATGAGGTCCCTGGAACCACAAGAAATGCAAAAAATTCACTTTAATAACTCATTCTCGAATTGCCCTCCTTAAAAATCATCAAAGTGTCCCCCTGTGGGACGTGTGCCCCACGTTGGGAACCACAGCTCTCAAGGAAGATGTGGACCACAGGTTTATTCTCCAAAAGGGTCTGTGATGTGAAAAATGCTCAGGAATCAAGATGCTAGGCCTGTGGTCCTTCTTGTGTATCAGCACCACTTAGGGGAAACCTTAAAAGTCCAGAGGTTCTGATGGGCTGGCTGCATGTTGTGCCTGGGAAGGAACTTTCAAAGTTCCCACGCATTTGATCCAGTCCAGTGTGAGAGAACTGATTGCTCCCCAGGAAAGAGCATGGAGACCGAGTTCTCCTCACCAAGACGAGCCAAGGAAAACGGGCCACTTCCTTCTTTCACAGATTCTACCAGGCAATGGGGCCTTCAGCTCCGGATCTCTCAAGAGAGAAGCATCCACATGCTTCCCTGATTTTTATTAGCTTACACGGCACCCTCCCAACAGTGCTTTAAAACGATTTAAACGTATTCCTATATACTATAGTTTAAGCTTTAGAAAGGATAGGAATATTATCATCAGCTAACTTGAAACCCCAAATTACTTCCCAATTCTCTTTCCACATACTACTATAGTATAAGTTTTTATTGTTCGCCCCTTAAAAGTATTCACTTTACAAGCTGGGCACTTCACAAGTGTTGGTCCACGTCCTATCCTAAAATTCGTGTGCAGTGTTGCTATACTAGCTCACCAGGGGAGCGCGGGAGACTCGAGGGGTCAAGAGCTGGCTCAAGGTCACACAGAGATTGGACCCCTGGGCGCCTGGACCCAGATATCAAGCCGGGTCCGTCCATTCACCTCCCTTATTTAGCACTTGGCCTCTCTCCTGCGACCAAAGATGAACAAACAAGTTATAAATCACGGAGGAAAAAATTTGCTTGGGAGCCTCTACCGCCCAGGCCGACCTGGGAGCGTCGGGAGGGCGGCCTTCCCGGCGCGGGGTAGTCTTTGTCCGCAGCTCCGAGCTGGGGACCGCGCTCGCTCCACCTCCGCTACCCCGGCCCCGGGCGGCGAATTCCGAGGCGGCTGCCGCGCCCGTGCCCACGCCCCCGCGGCGCCGGGACGCGGTGCGAATCCCAGACCCGGTGATCCGTATCTCCCGGCCGGGGCGGGTCCGCAGGCTTCCCGCGCAGCCGGGACCCCGAGCCGGGCAGATGCCCGACTCCAGGAATCCTTGCTGGAGGGCTGTTAAAAAGCCCCAACCCCCTCTGACCATCTGGCTCCTTCCCCTCGTCTATCGTTTTCCAAACAGTGTCTTAAAAAAGTTGGTCCCAAAGTTTAAGGGATCGGGTACGTGTGTGTGTGTGTGTGTGTGTGTGTGGGGCGTGTGACATCCACAGGGTCCCCGTTTGGGGGTGCTGCGGGCCCCCCTCCTCCCCAATCTCCCTTGGCCAGAGACCCTGGCAAGACCCGCTCCAGGACCTCGACCTCGCGGGTGCAGTGCAGGCGGGAGCAGGCGCCCATCCCGGGGTCGGGCACAGGGGATCGGAGGGAAATGCGGGGGGTGGGGTGCGGTGGGGGCGGCGGCAAGCTGGCGGGGTGACCACCGCGTGGCCAGCCGCTGGCCAAAGGCGATTAGAAGGCTTAGGCCGGCGAGAGTGTGTGAGAGTGCGCGCGAGGGTGTGTGTGAGCTCCCCAACCCCCACCTGTTTGAAATGCTTTCAAAACGCCAAAGCCAGATCAAGCGCGGTTCCAAAGTGCAAACAGTTGGAGTAAGACACGTGC